CCCTTAACATGGTCATTGCCAGCACATGCTTCCAGCGAAAAACTATTCATAAGGGAGCGTGGAGATCTCCAGATGGGTTATAGTAAACATGATCTATCATGTTATTATTGACTCTAGACATCACTCAGACGTAATAAACGTATCTAGCAGAAGAGGGGCAAATGCAGACTTTGATCTACTACTACCTAGCGGAAAGTAGAATAAGAGCCAGAATTTCAAACATTAAAAAAGAAAAGGGATCTAAAATTGCAAAAATATGAAATATAAAATTTAGCAGACAACAGCAAAAAGGCAAAATATAAAGAATATATAAAAAAAATGCTAGACAAAAGCACAAAGATATAAACAGAGAATGGGAAGCGCGTAAAAACATCATAAAAGACGCGTTCAAAGAGACCCTGGGTCTACAAAAGAAGCTCATATCAACTGAAAGACAGTGGTTTGATGAAGGGTGTCGTAACAAAACAGAGAGGAAAAATATTGCATATCAACGACTACAACGACATAGAACACGAAAGGCAGAGGAGGAATATAGAATGCTTAGAAGGGAAGAGAAGAAAATACATAGCAGAAACAAAAGACAACACATAGATAAAGAACTCCAAGAAATGGAAGAACTAAATAAACCATCAGAAGCCAGAAAATTCTACCAAAAACTTAACAAAAGTAGAAAAGAATTTAAACCAAGAACAATGGTGTGCAGAGACAAAGAAGTAGATATAGTAACTCAACAAAGTGAAATACTACAAAGATATACAGAATTCTTCAAAGAAAAGTTAAAAAAAAGATCTACTATATGATGGAATTATACTGGATCAAACAGATACCAGAGAAACAACCCCTCTTCAGTAGCTGAAATGCAAGAAGCAGTTATCAGACTAAAAAACAACAAGTCACCTGGATTAGAAAAACATTTACGCAGAATTAATAAAGGAAGGTGGAGACTTCCTATTGAATGTGATACACGAACTAATAGTGAACATATGGAATAATGAACAACTGCCACAAGACTGGAATACCGGAGTAATTATCCCACTACATAAAAAGGAAGATGCAGCTTCAATGTAAAAACTACCGGGCAATAACGCTACTAACTGTGGCATATAAAATATTATCAAATATTATGTATGACCGATTGAGACCATATGCGGACCAAATAGTTGAGGGATATCAATGTGGTTTCTGCAGGCAGAAGTCCACAAGAGATCAGATCTACGTCTCATAATAACAAAAAGTGAACAAATATTTGCATTTGCAGAAGATGTTGATATCATAGCTAGAAGCAAAAGAGAGATGATAGAAGCATTTAATGCGATAGAAAGAGCGGGAAAACAGTGGCCTAAACATTAACGAAATAAAAACCAAATACATGAAGGCCAGTAAATCGACGACAGGCCAAGGAAACCTACAGAATCAGACAATACGAGACTATAACATCGAAAACGTGAAAAGGTTTACATACCTAGGTTTACTAGTTATCGCAGATAACAATGTCAATGAAGAAGTTAAGAGAAGACATATCGTTCATAAAACATATAATGAACTAATTAAAAATCTAAGATGTAACAACATTACAAGAAAAACCAAATGAAAAATATACAAAACACTAATAAAATGGGTCCTTGTATATGGATCAGAGACATAAACACTGGCGAACAGCGATGAGAACCTATTAGGTACATTTGAACGAAAAATCCTTAGACACATATATAAGGGGGTGAAAGAAAATGATATATGGCGCAGGAGTTATAATTTTGAACTATACATAACTTACATTGAATCCAAGGTCATAACATCCATAAAGATCGGACATCTGCACTGGATGGTACATGTTGAACGAATATTGGAGACTGAAACACCAAAAAATATAATGAGGCAAACACCAGTAGGGAGAAGGTCAAAGGGAATATCTAAACTAGGCAAAAGGGAAAAGCAAGGAACAGAACAGAATGGCGAAAAATCCTAGAACAAGCCAGGAGCCAAAAAGGGTCGTCGAGCTACTGATGGTGATGATGAATAATGGAAATCAATCAGAGCCTACTGATAGAGCAAAATTTTGTTTATAGAATTCATTATTTATGAGCCCCAAGTGGGGCACATTCAGACGTTTTTGAAAAAGTGGTTTTGATTTTTTTTTTACAACAAGTATGGGGTTTAATATTAAAAGCATATATACAGTAAAAGTTGGGTGAACAATGTATTTCATGAATATTTTCTTTCTTTATTTGGTGAGGTCTTTAGAGTGATATGATAGTTTAAATTTTTATGTCTGAAGTAGCCCCAATCTCCCCTATTTAAGAAAAGAGACAAATCAGACAATAGGACTGTCACTAGAGAATACGATAAGAGAAAATTAATATTAAGCCAAGTTTAAAACAGCAAGAAATAAAAAAGAATAAAAAGAATTTGTAGAGATTATTTGCTTTGAGTTTGATTTTCGATTTTCTCTTTAGGGTTTCTGTTTTGATTGCACGTTGATCTTCCCAGATTTTTACATACTTTACATACATACTACGCTTATTTAATGGATAATCGTGTAGAATGTTTAACAAATTTAAAGGAATTTTCCAATAGAACTAAGAAATTAGTGCTCATTTTTAATCTGTTGTACGAACTTCCTATTAATTAAATGTTTTTACTTTATTTAGGGAATCATTTCTTAACAATAATCTCCAATTTTTCATCTGAATTAATCCCATTCCTCGTTAGTATTCTAAATAGATTTTAAATTGTATCAGCCAGATGGAGTCGAGCACTGTCATGAAGAAAATCGACACCTGCGCACTTTCAGTAACTTTTATGCTTGATGTTGATACATTAAATTTTTAAAGTATCTGTTCTTTGATCTGTCAATTGTTAAGACCAATATTTTTGTGGTTTCTCAGATTACGGAAAATTTTACTTGATATTTTTTAAACTGTTTGCTATAATATAGTTTTAAACAAAGTTTATTCTTCTTCAAGAAACACAGTCAAAGATAGCACGCAAAGTCTACAGACACTATGTATTTGGTATTGTAGAAGGAATGAGTAAGGAATTTATCATCAAGTTTTTCACTTAAAAAAAGTTTATTATTGTTATCCAAAATTATACACTGTCACAATAGTGTAATATAATAGTACAAATTAAAAGCAAAGGCAGAAGAGGTCCAAGCAAATGAAGAATTTCTTGGCGCTATAATCTTAAAAAGTGGTTTTTACTATTTAGCTATCATTGAAGTGTGTGTAGCAGCAACAAATAAAACGAAAATAGCCATGTTATTCGCCAATATCCATAGCAAGTAGAATCTTAGGAGGAAGAAGTTATTAGAATTTAAACGAAGAAATAACTTTATTTAAATGCATAATATATAATTTAAACTAAAGAAACTTTGGTTTAAGCCCCTTCGTTATTGGAAATGATTCAGATATAAAGTTTCCTTCTTTAACGACACTTCTTGCATTTTTGTAAATATTTGCGATAGCATCCACATACTCTATACTGTGTACTGCTTTCGTTAATGTTTGAAACAGTTTTTTCGTATACCTTCTCTAAATCTACAAACAATGCCTTCCGTTTTTCGATTACCTGCTGCAGAACGAATATATCATCAGTGCACAATCTTCCTGCAAGAAATCCATTTTGTTCGTCTATGTCTTCGTATTCTGATTCTATTCTTCCTATCATTATTCGACGGTACAATTTCCCCACTGAGCTGCTAACAGTTATTCCCTGGAGTATTTATCCCTGGAGCTGAAAGGTCAGATAATAGAACAAGTGATGGAGTTTAAATATCTAGGTACCACATTATCTTGCTACGGAAAGCTCGAAACCGAAGTGGAAGATCAAGATAATGGGGCAAACAGAGCCGCAGACTGCCTGAATGAAAAATTATGGAAAAATAAAAATATCGGGAAAGAAACGAAAGGCAGAATTTACAAAACAGTCATCAGACCAATAATTACATACGTGACAGAAACAAGACCTGACACAGAGAGGACAAAAGGATGTTAGAAACAGCAGAGATGAAAACACTTTGAAAAATTGATGGTAAGACACTATGGGGCAGAGCTAGAAGTACAGATATACTGGGTAAGAAATACAAGAGTAGAATGGAACGATCATATAAGCCGAATGACAACAAATATAGTAGTAAAGACGGCAAGAGACAGTTCCCCAATAGGAAGACCACGAAAAGGATGGAATGACAACTTACTGGAGGCACATTGAAAAACAGACAGAGTCATGTCTATATAAAAGAAGAAGAAGAAGAAAAAGCGTTTATCCCATTTCTTAGATATTGAGCTGATGTATCCAACATTCCAATCATCAGGAATATTTTGTCCTTTTAAGAATTTGTTAAATAGTTGAACCAACATCTCATGTAATATTTTTGGTCCATACTTTAACAACTCAATTGGGATGTCTCCAGGTGCTGCTGCTTTACCGTTTTTTGATCTTATGAGGGCATTGCTTAACTCTCCGGTTTAGAAGAAGAAACAATTTAGTAATTTGGGACTTTCTTCCTCTTTCAATATTGTAATCTTAATTTTTAAACCATGCTAAACTAAGTGTTAAGATTTTTAACTTTTTTGGTGTCCCTAAGATTAGGTCATTTGATAATATGGTCCTTTTGAAGATGTAGCGATAAGAGAAACAGTTTGTAATAAATTTTACCAAATTGTTAAATTAATTAATAACATTGAGAATAGTACTGATAAGGGCAATATAACGGTTATAGAGCAGGCGAGAAAAAGTAAAACTGAAAATGTATATAAAAAACAATAATTTATCCTATAATTTTAGAACTATTTACGAAGTGGAAATAAAAACGCCAAATATAACGCTTTTTTAATTAAAATTGCGGTATTTTACCAACAAATATAATAAATAATATAGAACTATCACAACAAAATCATTTTAGAATCATCTATACCTTTTTCCCTGCATTTTACTCTGAACCAGAAAAACTGGCAACGCGGTACCGCTGAAAGATATTTTCTTCTTCGTAGTTCGCATTCAGTCGCAGCTCGGCGAAGAATTTACGTGGACGGGAAACCGTTTGGACCTCGAAAACTGACACGTGCTTCACAATTGTCAATCTCCACAATTTTACTTTCAATTTTGTCAACATCCGATGTTGATTTTTCGTGTATCAGTGAAAGTCTAAAAGTGAATGATGTGATTTGTTTAGTGCGAGCTCATTTTTTGTGGATTTCTATTTGGATTGTTGGTAATAACAGATCAAAGTAAGTGTGGTATATTAACGGTGAAAGGACAGATGGTTTAGTTTAGCTATTTCATTGTCGGTGGTCGGTTTTCTAACAAACTTAAAAGATTACGACATATACACTACTATTATTGTCATGCTTGACAAAATTACAAGCCTACTACAATTTAGACTCTTCAAATAAAAATATGTTTCCTACTGCATTGGCAGCTTGACCACTTTCAAACTCTCCAGTTATTGTTAGAGGTGCGTTCCTGGGACGACTTTTTTATGACATGAATTTAGAAAAGTTTCTATCAGTCAAGTAATGACAGCTTGTGTTATATCACTTCAGACCTCTAAATATTCTAGATATATACACCTTCGATAATTGAATGTGATGTTGTTCAAATCATTGTATTAGTAAGCTATGATATGACCACAAAAGGTAATAAAGGTTTTACATTAATGAACAAACAGAACAATAGGTATGTTTATCATGAACTCCTGTCAAAGGAATCTACAAAGGAGAAGGCAAAAATAAAAATCCATCATAAATGATTCAGATTGAAGGCAAAATTTTACTTAAATAATAATAAAATAATAAAACAAACGAATAACATAAAAGATATGTCCACTTAGAAGACATTAACAAACAACTTTTACTGCTTTCCAGGAGTTCACGGAAAGTAGTAGAATGATTTCTGTAAAAATTATTATATAAGAAATACATGGGTTTATCCTTATTTCCATTATTAAGAACTATATTCATGGAGGTTTTTGAACATAACAATGTACACAAACAAGACGAACATCCCACAGCGTGGTAGAGATATGTAGATGATGCATTTAGCCTCACGTACCACAAGCTTTAGATACATTTCTAATGGACATTAACAACAAAGAAGAATCAATTTAATTTATCATCGAAAAAGAAATTATTCAATATTAAATTAAAACTTAAAAAGATAGGAAATAAATTCAACATTCAAAACAACAAACACGTTGAGATCTATTTTGTCCAAAACCAAACCTAACAATGAACAAGAAAGGACAAAGAATTGCATTTATAAAATACCTTGTGAATGCGATTAGTTTTATTTAGGTGAATCATCAAGGCCATTAAATGTTAGAATAAGTGAACATCAATCTTATATTAAAAATAGAGAATTTGATAGATCTCAAATCTGTAAACACGCATGGGATAATGAACATAGGGTTCAATGGAATAATTCAAATGTAGTCCTATAAGAAACGGATGTTAAAAAAAAAAATCAAAGAAGCGGCTCTAATTATGCTAAATGAGGCCAATTGTGTCGCAAATTCTTCGGCAGAATGTAGTAGGATCTGGTTACCAATATTGAAAGAGGAAGCTATTAATAAGAAAATACCAGTATTAGTAAGTCAGTAACATATAGAGGATACATTATTTATGTTTTTTAAATAACGTAACATATAAAATCTGAATTTTGATGTTTGTTGAAGGTAAACTAAATTCACGAACAAATACTTACAATGTCGGGATAGTATTATGAGGTTTTTTTCCTGGTTTTTCCCTCATAATTTACTATGGAATCACTAACAGGAGAATTTTACTGTCATCATGTCATGTGTTTGTCTTTTTAAAGACGAATTACATGCTATGATTTTTTTCTGACGGATATTCTCAAGTTAAAGTTGATTTCATGTATTCGAATGAACTATCTTATAAGTAAAGTCGTCCCAGGAGCGCAACTCAACAATATTGGCAATATCATTTTGAAGTCGTATTCTTTAAAATGCATAATGTATGTCTGAATTGTCAATATAAATGAGTCAAATAAAATTAAATTATTAGAAGAATTTTTCACTATGTAACAAAAAACAAAATTTGTTTAATTTACTGTTTGTATTTTGAGAACGATTTCCGAAGTGGAAATTGAATCTTCAATAAACGTATTTTTATCTTTAATTGTGGCTTATTCCCAGTTTAATAGTAATTTATCAAAATTTTAATTCAAAACAACCAACACATAAGATTTTAAAATAAACTATGCGACTGGTGATGCTATTGATCAACTGGTTACAAATATATAGTGTCTATCTCGAAATTACACCGCTTTAGGAATCCCTGATATAAAAGGTGCTTATGTACTAGACTTGTCTATACTACTAAATAAAATTATCAGCTTAAAACTTCCAGAGAAAGTAGCAGACGCTATATTCAAACTCTACATAAATATATCAGTAGCAATCAGAAAATATAACGGCTTCATATCTGAATATTCTTTGGTAACAAAGACGTCGTTTACACGGCATTTAAAATTAAAATGTTATTGAGTACACTAATGACTTGCTGTCTTTTATAGACATGCAAGAAGTTATAATAAAAGTTTATAAATTTTGAACATAGAAATTTTACCTTTCGTCCAGAGCTTAATCTAGGTTTTGACTTATCTTAAATCGAGAGAGGCCATTTTCATCCGACACAATATTCCAAATTGTACCACCATAAAACTGAGTGACATGAATTTGTCTTTAACCTACCAAATAAAGTATTTCTGAATATCTCTAGACAAAAAAAATGTCTGTACAGTTAGCAGATCCACTTTATAAGGCAGAATTCAGACCAACATTATAATTTATTAAGGAAATTTATTTAGCGTATGGCTACATCACAGGTTCATATATATACATATAATAAAAATTATATAAATTACAAACAACAGTAAATACAAAAATATTATTCTGCAAATAAACATATAGATTATAAATATATTCGATTGACTCTTTTGTAGCAGCCAGGAAATCTGAAGGGTTGCCGTTATAGGATCTAATCGGGCATTCCTCTACTATGTGTTTTACTGTTTGCCTTTCGGCGCCGCAGTCGCAATTTGGTGATTGTATTTTTCCCCATCTAAAAAGTGAGTCGGAACATCTGCCACAATTCGTCCTTATTCTATTGAGTGTGGTCCAAATTCGTCTCGGTTGGTTGAAGCCCTCAGGTTTGCTTGTAATACATGGCATGTTCCAGTTAGCTGGTGCAGCGTTATTCTCCCATTGTTCTCTCCACCGTTCAGTTACATTAAAGTTTTGATTTACTAGCCTTTTTGATGTTTTTAGAGGCAGGTGTCTTGAACGGAGCCTATTTATGTCTCTGGCGGAAGTTCCGACATGAGAGCGGAGCTCAGGATCAGTATTGATTTTTGTAAATTCTCTAACAAGTTCATGTTCCCGGCGGATGGGTGGTGGAGCTATATGACTCAAAGCTGGTAACCAGTAAGTGGGCGTGTCCTTGATTGTGCCCGATATAGTTCGCATGGCTTGGTTGAGTTGGACATCAACACGGTGAGTATGTGGACTGTTTATCCATACTGGTGCACAGTATTCCGCTACGGGGTATACCAGTCCTAATGCTGTCGATCTAAGTGTGGATGCTGAGGAGCCCCATGTAGTGCCGCAGAGCTTTTGCAGGATGTTGTTACGAGTTCGGAGTTTTGCAGCAGTCTTAGTAAGATGCTCTTTAAAGTTCAGCGTTCTGTCAAGTGTAACACCTAAGTATTTTGGGTGTTTATTATATTTAAGGAGTCTAGTCAAAATTGATTTGAGGTTGATAGTTGGCCATCTTGTTGTACAAATGGAAACAGGACACTTCTGTCTTAGTTGGATTGGGTTGCAATCTCCATTTGCGGAAATAATTCCTCAGGGCATTTAAATCGTTTGTTAGAATGCGTTCAGTGACCTCGAATTCTTTATGACTTGCGGCAAGCGTCCAGTCCTCTGCGTATCCAAACTTTTTTGATGTGGTTTCTGGCACGTCTGCTATGTAGAGGCTGAAAAGCATGGGAGCCAGCAGGGATCCTTGTGGAAGTCCATTATTCAGTTTTCTTTGGGTACTAGTCTTGTCTCCCAATATAACTTTAAAGTATCTGTTGGATAGCATGGCGTTAATAACCTCAGTGGTCTTTCTGCATGGGATTATTCACATTACTTTATATATTGCCCCTTGTCGCCACACAGTGTCATAAGCAGCAGATAGATCGATGAAGACAGCGGTTGTTTTTGATTGCTTTTGAAAGTTTGATTCCACATAATTGGTCAAGGCGAGTACCTGGTCTGTGCAGCTGCGGTTTGGCCGAAATTCTGCCTGTTCCACTGGTAAGTGTTGGAATATGGTTTTGCTGATTCTATTATACAACAGTCTTTCGAACAATTTGTACACCATACTTAAGAGTGCGATGGGGCGGTAGTTTTTCGGTGAATTATTACTTTTCCCTGGTTTTAAAATGGCGACGATTTTTGTATTTTTGAGTTGGTGGGGAACGTTTCCCGTTTTAAGGATGTCAGAAAAGAATTCTGCGAGCCATTGCCTAGTGAATCTGCCGCTATGTTTGAGGAACTTAGCGTGAATGGCGTCGAAACCCGGCGCTTTTCCTGTTTTCATTTCATTTAGGGCTTGCGATATTTCTTCATGCGTAAATGGGTTGGAATATTCTGTTGACTGTGCAAGACTAGATTTTATGGTTTTGAGGTCTTTTTTAACTTTAATTGTATGTAAACGATTTTGAGGTGCCCTTGAGGTTGACACTATGTGCGTAGCTATTTGGTTTGGAGTTACTAGGTTGGTTTGGTATTAAGAAAAGAAAAAATTTATTGCTTTAGCTGTTTCTGAGAAACAGTGGGTATGCTAACTTTAAGGTAAAGCTAGCATAACCACAGCTATATCTCGACAAGGGAAAACATACATCCCCGGAAAACAGAGATATCGGCCAAAAAGAGAACTGCAAGGAATTGATTGCTGATTATATGACGAAGTTTTACGCCAAGAACATAAAACTTAGGCATGTTGACAGTTTCTTCAGTTCAGTTTTCTAATTTCATCGTTTTTGGCCGACAACTCGATTTTTTAAGTGAGTAACTTTGCGCTAGGGTATGATGGGGTAGTTTTTGGATATTTTTCATCAACAGCAATTAATTAGTAATAAATTGCCCCAGACAATTGCCCGAAAACAATTTCCCGAAAGACAAATCCCCGAAAACAATTCCCCGAATAGACAATTG